TATATATATATATATATATATGCTAAAATGAAAAAGGTCCATACAGAGAAAAACACAATTCACTTTGTTTTGAAAAGCAGTGTCTGCTACATCAACATCTGTCTTTAGTTAAGCAAGGAGTACAGACATCCTTTTCACTTATTCGCTGAAAGGGTGGTGGTGGTGGGGGTGGCATTTTCTCATTTCCCCTAAATTCTTACGTCTGAAACAACAGAATACCAAACACATTATCAAGGAAGCACGTGACTCAGGGCATAAAAAACCAAAACAACAGAAAATGAAAAAGGTTGAAAAAGAGAAACTAAATTCATTCAATTATGAAACAAAACAAAGAGATCAAAAACAGAAAGAAGAAAAAACATGCATTTTAAGTTGCGTCTATGGCAACTCCTCGGTTAAGATTTGGCCTTGCATTTATAAATTTCATTAAAAGACTGTTAAGCACTGATTAAGAATGCAGTTTCAGGGCATTCCAGCCGAGGACACTACATAACATTATAAGATGTTTGAAAGCATTAACCATGCACACAATGTACAAATGCAACCATTGCATGAGGTGCTGTAACAATGGTGGACATGTGGGGGGCCCCTGGGATTCTCAGCTACTGGAGTAGTGCTGACTGTGCTTATGTTTCACTTGGCCATGCTGTTACCTTTTAAAAGGAACCACCAATAGAGTCTGCTTGTAAATTACCACAACGAGGCTCAACCCTGCCAACTTCAGGCAGTAAATAATCTCCACTCACTCCAGCCCTCCACTCCCTCGCAGCTGCCCACACACAAACACACATAGACAAACACACTATCCAACTACTCCAATGCCTATTCTAAGTCCCAGTGGCTGACCTGTGCCTCCCACCCCCCTTCACCAATCAGAAAGAAGCATAATCAGACCAAAGTTATTCCTTAATTATTATATTATTTATGGCTTGAAAGGAGTACTTTCAGACAGTGGGGGTGGATTAACCAAAACAATGTGCTGTAACTTAAGATCACATGTTGCTAAAATCAGTGCCGGGCCAACTGCCTTCTCAGACTTACATATATCAATGTTTTGCTTTACGTATTTTAAACATTTTGTTTATACTTCCTCTTTTTCTGTTTTGTTGGTTTATACGCTTCTGTTTTCATTTCACCATACAGTCTAACTATCAGTAGGGGTGACCCTTTAAACGGGGTCATGGGTGACAGGATGTCGGTGCAGTACAGTGCAGACACAGATGAGCTTTTTATGAGAAAAAGAGGAAACGGTGCTGGAGGTTGAGCAGGGTCTTAGCTGAATATCACGTTTAGTGTTTGGCTTGGCTGTCAAACGCTGTTTTGGCATCACCATGGTGATGTAAGGAGCAACTGTAACCCCGAAGGTTTTATGATGACCTTGCCCACTGGCTTTCCAGTAGAAGCAGTTTGGGAGCCTATGTGTGTGTGCATGTTGTGCAATGGTGCTCCTGATTGAGTGTGTGTGAGGGGTGAGGTTACTGACAGACTGGAAAAATAATGAGGATTATTTTTCAAGACAATAAAACATCTGTTACACCTAAAAATCCTCAGATAGTTATAAAAAATGACAATATGTGAAATATCTTTCAAGTCTGCACAGTTAAAAGCTCTGGTTTCACATTCAAATATTCTCACCTGGGGCCTAGCTCATCCTCGCTACGCCAGACAAAGTCTCCGAATTTTTCATAATGAGAATTGTAGTGATGCTGGACTCTGTAGAGCAGTGGAGGAGGAATCTCCATCAGCAAATTGTAGGCCATCTGCTGCTCTTTGCCGCTGGTGTAGCCATTATACAAGTTGTACACCTTGTCTGCAGTTTCTGTCGGGAAGAATAGATGAATGAATTAGAGACTGAAAAACAGAGAGGGAAGAAGTGAGGAAAGTAAATAAGAGATTAAAATTTTAAGGGAATATGTAAAAATACATGCAGAAAACATACAGAATTTTAAACAACAGGGGTCAGATTGATTATCGGCCATGAAAATCAAACTAAACAAAAGAAAAAAGAAAAAACAAACCAAAAAAACTGCTGTGCATTTTTTTGAAAGGTACGTTATCTACTTCATCCATATTACACATTTATCGGTAGGAATTCTCCATTCAGACTCAAAACTTGTGGAAGACATGTTACATAGCATTTGAGGTGTTATTCAGTGGAGTTGTTTGTAATATAAGCACTCTGTCTTTAGATAAATTCTGAGCTCCACTTGGGCTATTACATTTACCTGACCTACAAAACGCCACTCAGTCCCTTGCAATATCTAACAGAAGCATTTGCTCTTATATCAGCACATACACGATAGCCTTTCAGATGCCTCTCCTTAATCTGAATTATTTTGGCAGTCGATTACTTGCTCACTTGTTGGATGTACTTGTTTATGCTACTCTTAGGAGACTGTGCTAGTCATTACTGAAATGAACATGCGGGATAGTGTTCATGAATTTGTGCATTTTTAGTAGCAGCTGCCCACCCACAGAACTTTCCACCCCCATTGGTGCATTTTTTTGTGATTACAGCCTCACTCTAATTTGTCCCACCGAGTAAATCTGGCCCTACCTCCTAAAGCACTCTCCTTCCCATATTTTGGATTCTTGAGTACTTTGTTTGACAAATTCTGTCTGCTATAATTAAAAAATTAAATTGACATTACAAATTGGTAGAGTGTGCCTTTACATTTTGCTAACCATAGTGTGCAATCTTGCATGTGCACATTGCATAGGTAAGAGCACAGTAGACAAAGTAGTGGATAAGTAGCCATTCAGGTAAACTGTGATTACATGAAAGCGATGCAAGGAAAAAAGCAATATTAAATAAAGATGAGTACAATAAAGCAGAGTCCCAAAAAATGATGGGTGAGAGTACCTTCTGCTCGCGTGTCATCCACCACTGGACAAGATGTCCGTACTGAGACAAAGCTTGATTCAGAGTAACTACCTCGGCTATCCACTGCATAGAGAGTAAACCTGAAAATAACAACAACAACAAAAAAAAATAGCACCAGTAAGCACATCATTTATAAGGTAAAATAAGGTACAAGGGAAACAGGTAAGGTACAAGTGAGCAAAAGGTACTCAATATTGATTTAAAGTCATATGTATGTCCTGTCACCAAAGAAAATACATTGTAATTTGCGGTGTTACTTTCAGAGAGTGAGAAAGCATGCACACAAGGGAAGAAATGCTCTTTAAAAAGTATTGCAATTCATTGTCAGCTACAATTTACCCTAAAGGAAAAAAAAAAGTCTAAATTCTCTGTCCAGTTGGCATGTGGTTTCAGGAGGTTGTTGGCAGTTGAGAGATTCAATAAACTACCTGTTTAGCAATTGACTGATGGACACAGGTGTGGCCGACTGATGGGAAAACAGAAATTAAGAAAGGAAGCAGAACTAACAACAATAAAAGAAGGTGAGTATTTTTTTTTATAATAAAGCAGGAAATGCAGGGCTCCTGTGGGTCATCAGAGTACCCTTTCTTATTAAGAGGCACCTGAACCATACCCCACCCAATTGGGGTATGGTTCAGGTGCCAGGTCAACAACCTTCTCTTCCTTCTGCACCAGGAGCTGCTTGACTACATACATTGACCTGGCTGAAGCATGTTGAGAGGAGGAAAAACAGCAACAAAGCTGACCACCTTGGGGAAGTTGGAAAAGGGCTGCAAAAGGGCAGCTAATATGCATAAATTCAACCTGTACAGGCAGATCTTTGGTGGACATCCAGACTTTCAGGCCCATCTAATGACAGGAGCAAGGCTGTTCAAACCTTCCTCCACGCAAGGTAGCACCTGCAAATAAGTGGCTAAGCTTAAGGAACTAAAACCTCTTTCAGTTCTGGAAAGAGCAAAGGCTTGTAACTGTGAAAACACTGGAAAGGTGAGAGACCTGTGAGAAACCTTTTTGGCAGAGAGTAGGTTGAGCAATACGATGAAATTGTTGACAGAGAAAATAGTTGTGTTACCTTCTGAGTTTGGAATAACAGCTACAAAGTCACCAGAAATGTGGAACCACATCCACAAAGGAATAGGAGGGAAGGACATAGAGCGAGCCTACAGGATGATGATTACAAGGTTTAGTTTTTGAGCAGGCTGAACAGAAAGCAATAAAATCTCTCACATCCCCTCTCATTTCTAGCCTGTCACCATGTGACGTGTGAGTATTAATGTCTGTTGATGTCAGTGAATAACTTAAGTGGCCGAGGAATAAAGAATTACTCAAAGGTGCAGCTTCCTGGAACTTTAACATCTTCCAGTACTTACCTCACCTAACTCTCAACCTCCTGAGTAACCAGCTCAAACTGGATGAACATAGGTGTATTATCAGTCTAATGGTGCAGACCAATAACACTCTGTGAAATGCCACCTTATTGTGGTGTTATTATTTGTGTTATCCCAGAGATCCCAGAGACTATGATGTCAGGGGTTTTTGCCCTGGTAAGGTCTCCCTGAGGAAAATTGGCCCTGAAGGGCAGACAATGAACTATCCACATGATCCCTATGCAAGACCAAGGAATCAAGGGACCAGTTTACCTTGTCTGAGACAGGGGTACCAGGGGTGCGCCCTGGAGCCACCTTGTGGCTCAACACCCACAGGAGGCTTTTGCGGTTGAGGCCCAACTGCTGGGGCTGACTCTTGGGAAATGAAACAGCATCTCTCTTGTGGGGAAGATACCTGAGCTAGCGTGCCAAGTTGAGAAATACTGGCAAAACATAACCTCACCTGGTGCCTCGATGGAGGCTAAACGACATTGAGTCCAAATGACCCATGTTTGGCACCTTAATTTTTGAGGAGGTATGGTTGCAAGGTGGTTAGAGCATTTGTAGTGGTAATCCCAGGACCCAATGATGGACACAGGAGGGAGCTATCAAGATGAGAAAAGGGTCCTCTCAGGTTTGATTAGCTTGTGGGACTCCAGGGGCAGCTGACTGGTTCTGGGAGGCCCAGAGGAATGAGGCTCTGCCAGTAGTTAAAGCAGAGCATTTTGCAAGGTGTGGGAGGAGTTCAGTGAGGCCATGGAACAAGACTTTCAATTGGCCTCGAAGCAAGGTTGTCCTCCCAGAAGAGCACAAGGCTGTCCTCCCAGTAGGAGAGACTGTTCAGGATCCCAGGTCAGCTGAGAGACCTGGGAATGCATTGGTGTTGCCCTGGATGACCCTACAGGAGGTGTCCGATGGGAGGGAAGTCTGGACTTCTCTGATTAGATTTCTCCTCCTTTGACCTGGCCCGTGACACATGGTAGAAAATGGAAGGATGGATCTTGGGCTAAAGGAATTCACTGGCTTCAGGGAGTGCTCTTTATGTGTAATTAATACCAGATTGTCCAGACTGATATCCATGGAAACTAGGGAATTTAAGTCAGTAGAAAATATAAAGGTGCAAACTCATCTGGGAGACACTTTTTGACATCTTCGCACTTTAGATTTGCTTGGCTAAAATGCACAAAAAGGCATCAGCAAGAGAGACACCAGTCAAGCCACTTTGAACCAAAGTACAGAACTGGAAGACAAAATCTGCCATTCTGCTTTAACTTGATGGATGAGAAAGAGAAAAGGAGCTTTTTCTCTCCCGTGGGTTCCATAATAAAAACTTGCTAGAGAGTAATCTTTAAATGAATGCCTTGCCCACTCAGCTGAAGCTCACTCTTGTGTCCTACCAGTCAGGTAATTCAGTACTGTTATTGCTCATTCGGTGGTATAAGAGAAAGGATTTGGTAAAAAACAAGGGGAGAACAGTTCACCGGGCAAGAGGGTCTCTAACACATTTTTCATTCTAGATTTTTGGATCATGAATAGGCAGTGTTGGGTAAGTTACTTTAAAATAGTAACTTAGTTACATTACTAGTTACTTCTCTCAAAAGTAACTCAGTTACTTCAAGTTACTTGTTACTTTCAAAGTAACTAGTTACTAGGGAAAGTAACTTTGGTTTTACTCAGAATTCTCTTGTTAATGTCTTTCTTCCATAACTTTGCCAGTCTTCTAGCTTGCTTACTTGCCACAAGTGCACTGTGCCACCTACCAATAGAAAGGAAAAGATAATGTGCATATTTCCAC